TAATTCCGATCGGCTAATCAATTTTATTGGTCAGCGTAGTTGAGTCTAGGCGACTCACACCAGTAAATTCTCCCACTTCGTAATTGTCACACTACGAAAAGAAGATAATTAGTCTATTGTATTGTAAGTGTTTCTCCATCAGTTTGGCTAAGTCACTCAAAGTACATTTTAAACCGTTGTCCAACCAATTCAGATCGAAATACAACACTGCCACATGAAGCTACCTACTTGAGATGCGCTTTGTAAACAAGCTACTTAACAATTTTGGAATGGCCTAAGTAAATGACTACAAAACTCATAAAGTCTTGGTCGACTTTCAGGAATGACATTTCTGATGACGGATTTACGTTAGTCTGAGAAGCTAAGAATCAAGGACTGCTGTTAGCTACCTCAGAACCACTCAGCAGTCCGTACACATAACCCTGATAGCAATAAACTCAAAACCCTCAGGTTATGCATCCAACTCGTTACTTTCAAACGAGCGTGATAAAAAGTCTATTCAAACACGTCATCACAATCTGCTTGGATGGTACTTGAATTTGTCGTTAAGTGAAACTACATCTGTTTGCTTCTAGAGATCACTAAAATGAATCAAAACACGTGACTAACACGAGTTGGCTTTTATTAGTCATCGCGACGATGTTGCATTTGCAATGAGCACTACTTCAGAGAAGATAGAGTGGCGAGACTCTAATTTAGGGACGATCTTCGAACGAATCTTAAATGACCTTGACAATTATTAGCCAATCAGAAGACAGTTAGTATAAAGTGAAAATATATTATAAGTAAGTAATGAATTACAGTGGATATTCTTCTTTTACATGATTAAAAAACTTGTTAAGGTTTGATAAAGGTTCAGAAGTTATAAATTCATAATGCATATGGTATAGAAACTCATCCATAGGATTAGGGTGCTAACATGCGATCGGTTTACAACGGATTTTAGAGGTTAGGATTAGGGTTGTAGCCTAGGGTTAGGTTTAGGGTAAGGGTTGGAGTTGTAGCCTCTCCTCTAAAATCCGATGTAAACCGATCGCATGTTAGCGCCCTAACCCTATGGATGAGTTTCTATACCATATGCATTATGAATTCATAACTTCTGAACCTTTATCAAACCTTAACAAGTTTTTTAATCATGTAAAAGAAGAATATCCACTGTAATTCATTACTTTCTTGTAATATATCTTTACTTTATACTGTCTTCTGATTGGCTCGTACCTAAATTAGAGTCTCGCCGTCCCATCTGTTGTAATCTCTCATTAATAACCTCCTCTCTAAAATCCGCTGTGAACCGATCGTATGTTAGCATCGCGTGTTGAACTTGGCTCCGTGACCTTGAAATCGCTCAAACGCTTCTGATTGACTCGTCCCTAAATTAGAGTCTCACCGATAGACTCTGTTCCACTCCAGATACTTCTGCAAATTCGCAATAGTACTGTTGATGAAAAACCAAAACAGGTGTAAAGCAAATCAAAGTACCGAAATCGGCGATATTAAAATGGTTATTGACTAATCTCTTCGTTGTGTTCTACAACGGTGTATGTAATGAATTCAAAAAAGGATCGGTCTTATGTGTAGCATATTCACATATATGTCAACAGTTACTGAATGTGATCATATTTCTTTTGTTAGTTGTTGACCTAAGGTGATTGGTCATTGTTGATATAATCGATGAGAAAAACGCGATTCATGACTTCACTCAATCGTTCTTACAAGGAATCCAAGAACGACTAGAGATTACTGGTGCTACTTTCGTATTTGTATGTAGTCAGTAGAGAGACGCTGAGAAGTAATTATTTTTACCCAGATTCCCTCTTTCTATGTTTATTTATCGGTAAGCTAAAAGTACTTGTTTGTTGTCAAATGGAGTTAACTGTTGACATTTGATCAGCATGAAGATGGTTTTCACCACGAGTTGATACCTGTTGGGGAATTGCCAAGAGCCAAAAACACTGTCTAATCGTTTCGTCTTAATTAGGCGTCTAGAGACTAACATGGAATCCAATCCAAGACAATAAGTTCTTGAACCAAGTAATTGATCGAACAACAAACACACACTGATTAGTGAACAACATCAAGATGGATCGAAATAGTTGAGAGTGACAATTGTCTCATGGAATTCAATCTGTGACTAGTCGGTATTATATTAAATGTGAGATCTGAAAATCTCTTATTTGACTCAGTATTACCTGATGGGTGCGCATCGCTTGGTTGTCACAAGCTCAGATGTAATATCTAGTTGATTCTTCTTAATTTTTCTGTATCCTCCAACTGATGTCAGTCTGTAACAAAAACCACCTCAAATATTCGTCTACGTTTCTAGATCACTACAACTAAAGAGTTAGTCTTTGCATGACGGTCAGCCAGTTTATTCATATATCTGCCTATAAATTGACGTGATAGATGTGCATAAATCGAGTTTCTCTATTGGTCAATAAAGCAGCTCTTTTGAAATAGAATTTGTAATTTCAGCTAAAGATGAGCATCGATGAAGAACTTTCAACACAAACAACTCGGTTATTCAGTATCATCGACACATCAAACTGATTATTTCAAGTATAAACTTCATACTACTTACTATATATTTAGCTTGACAAGGACAATAAGCTATCAATGCACTTTGTCGTTGAATTTCAATGACTTTGAGAAACAATTTTTTATTATTAATAAAATGCAGAAAAAATTCCATCGGTAGACGTCTCTCAACAGGTACATGTAATAACCAATTTTTCAAAATCCTTTTTAATTCTTTTACTTTTTTCTCTTCTGTATAATGGATTTTTGCATCACGTAATAAGTCATTCATATAAGTACCACAGAAACCAACAGTGTATGGTTTGTTTTTGCAAAATTTATGTGTTTTACCTCGACAAACATCTGGGCAATTTAAATGTGGATCAATCTCACGAATGCATAAACCCAATCTACAGAGAAGAAGGAACAAATCAATCAGTAACATAATAAAGCTTTTTAGTGGTTTAGTGAGGAACGGATAGTTTTGAGGAAGAGGAGAAGAAGACGAAATCTCTTCTCAAAGATGAATAAATATATGAAAAGTGAATTATTGGTTATACTGGCTCAATATTAATATGTTGTTTCATAGACGTTGAAACTGTCGATTTGATTTCGTGCGAAGATATTTACCCACTGTACTGACTAACATCAAACAGCATGGTATATTGTGATAGTTTGAAGTATTCGAATTATAGTACAAACTAGGAATCCCAGATATAACGCAATTTAACCAAGATGTATTAGATAAGCACGAAAGAAAGTCTTATACATGGAATTCGAAAGGAATCACTGGTTCATACAAACGCCACATTCACCATAGCTTAAATGAGAATCAAAATTTCTGCAGTCGATATTGTCTCTTCTTCTTAACTTCATCGTGTGTTTGTCTGACTGTGTATTGGATGTAGACTCTGTATGACCTAGAATATACTCATTAGTATTAGAATGAACAACTAAAGTCGGTTGTGTACTAAAATCACTGATATCTAGAATTGGAACCATAGGTTTTTCAACACTCCCACGATATAATATTGGATCCTCATATCCACAAACGATAAATGATCTGGCCTAATTTAAAACATATTTCTCACATTGGTTAGAGAATTCATTTGAAGTGACCTCATGATAAGGATAAACAACAGTTGATATAAAATCATCGAAATCGATCTCATGTGAGGCTTGTGCTTTGCATTCAACAAGTTCCCCACAAGAAACAAATGCATTATGAAAGCAAATAAAATTTGATATAACATCAGGATCTGATTTCTCTAAAGTATTTTCATCAAATTTATTAAAAAAATGTCATTGAAGAATAGTGAATCATTAGAAAAATAAGCATCTATCGGAGTTCCGATCATGATTTGATTCATTCAACATATTTTCTTCAGATTTATATGAAATAACATCAGAAATATGTGAACCGTTAGGACAAATGATATCTGGTACAATGACATGAGGAATCCGGTAAGAAGGTTATTGACTAGTAGCTTTTGCCTAACAATGATTCTGGACTGCTATATGACCGTATGCTGCTTTTCGAAGTCGTGGATAAAGATAAATGATCATTAGAAACACCCAACTTAATAAGACCAAACTTAGGATTGCTTGCAGCGAAATGAATGTTAGTATTACAGACTGCCGGCATGTGTCAAATCATACCACATTTAAAGCATTTAGGATTACGAAATATACATGAATTACGTGAGTGAAACTTCCCACAGATCAAACATTTACCGAACTTGTGCTCATCTTCGTGACCTGCTTCTCAACTATTCAATGAACTGTTATCTGAATAACCTTGATTACTTATTAGACGGGGACCACGTAGTAAAGTAATGGAATCCTGATGTCCCGACGAATCATTTTATAAAATTTCCTTCCTTTACGGCACTCGAAATTTATACACTTTACATGGTCTAGTAGTAGTCGCTTGCGAGTTGCATAAGGAAACGAAATAAGCTTTTCTGGTAAAGCCAGAGTTTTGATAAGCTGTATGATTTTCTTCCCGATGAATGTAAGGAAGTGAGTCACAATATTAACACTCAAGATATCCTTTGGTAAAAGCCCAGATTTTAAAATCTTCCGTGTAATCCTCAAAATCTGAATGTATGTCTAAACGTTCCATGGCGACGCCAATGTGATGATTTAAATTATAGTGCAAACTAGGAATCCTAGAAATAACACAATCTAACCAAGAAATATTAGATGAGCACGAACGAACGTATTGTATTTGGAATTCGAAGTCAGGCAGTCATCAAGTACAAAGGAATCATTAGTTCATACAAACACCATGAATAGACATTTAGTTTAGTGTGGTTTTTTATATTATCTAATGAAGTAAATCATCTTGGTAATAAATTATCGATTGGGTTATCGATAACACATTTTAAACTTATATTTAGCCAGTTAATGATTATAAAATTATTTTCGATGATAACGTTGATAATTTTTAACAGACTAAAACCATTGTAACGGTTTCCCTTTACATGTATTTCTCTATATTACTTGTTATATACACGTCATTATATGCATCATACTGTAATTCTAGTCCATTATATTTTATTTATCAAGAAGCATGGCCTGTATCCTTAGCATGGAAATGTAGTGGTACACCAATGTTAAATGGACAACGTGTTCAGTTCATTGAAGAAGCGACAGAAGTTTATTATGATACATTAATGTCTGGAAGATTTATAGAAGATAGAAATTTAGACGTTGTCATACCACCGAATAGCATATTAAAATCAAAAGATTATTTAAATATGCTTGATCTAGTAATACATACATCAGGAAAAAATCTTGGTAATCCAGTTGTAATGCGGATTAATTGTGAATTAATGAATAATTTAAAATGGGTCAAAGAAGTATACAATAGAGCATTATCCAGAAATACAAAGACATTTAGAGCTATACTGGATATTATTTATAGGTAAAAATCAAATTTCAATTGATTTGTTTATTCGTAATGCTTTCAACTGAATCTTCACAACTTTTATCCGGTAGTTAAAATGTTTTACAAAGGTGTAACCAATTAAATCGACCACCAAAAAGGCATCATAGAATAAAAAAAACAATACAAGTAACGAAGATGATTTTATGTATAAGAAACTGATGACATTGATGTCAGTATACGACAAACATTTTACTAGGATAACGAGTCTCAACTCAGCCGATGAATATAAAGAAACAATATTATAGCAGTAGGGAGAAATAATATAAGTGATTACTTGCGGTGGTAAATGATTGGGATACTGGTATACTGTCTATATACTTAACGGATTGTCTCATATGGGTGGTGCTGGACTAAACAATGATAATACTCAGTAAGCTAGTTAAATCTGCCAAAAATAACAAGGTTTCCACCAGTATTCATTACTTTCGAAATTGTTAACAGCATAATAGCGGAAGAATACTAAAATAGACGAGGAAAATAAGAAATAAATTGTTATGTGACGAGCAAAAACAATGTAAATTGAAGAAAGTGTTGTAGTGAAGATAAAGAGTAAATAGATCAGCATCTTAGAGAGAAAGAATGTATTTGTAAAATTTCAGAGAATGAATTTGAAGTAAATCCAACGTTTCGCCTAGCAATCTGATTCGAATTTTTTCAAGGAAATATAATCAAACATCAAAATTATTGTTGGACCAGATCAACAGGCGAAACTTTGGATTTACTTCAAATTCATTCAATAAGATCTTACAAATACATTCTTCCTTTTTAATGTTTCACATCAACTCGGTGCCCAAATACTGTGAAACTATTCGATTAAATTTAAACGAAAGTTCTTATTTATGGATCAGCATATTTTTAATTAAATTTGAGACATTGCACTATTGCCCAGAAACTACGTATTTCGCATTTCTCATGTTAACTAGGAAAAATATACCTTTATATGGGGTAGAATGTATTGATTTCTTGTCAAGAAATATTTCTCCTTATCCGTCATGATTATACTTTATAGTTATTAATGTTTTGGAATGAGTTGATATGTAACTTTGATATTATTATCAAAACATATAACTGGAGCAAATATAAGTCAACATGATTACTGTCAATATGCAGAACTGGGCTATGTACTATTTTCAAAAGGCCTTTATTCAAAGATTTCAATTCGTATTTTTAAAATTTGATTACATTAAACAATGCGATAAATCATTAGTTTTGGACTTACTGGGGATTTCATACAACTTCATAATAGTTTTGTAATATATGGTGAATCATACATGTCCTCATTCATCGGAATATATTTATATCAATAAACATTTCTAAAATTCATTTCCTTCGTCAGAACCCGTAGTGGAAATACTAAAAGGACATATTCATATATAATGACTGAATAAAATTGTACTCCGTTCTCTTCTCCATTGTGAAATTACTAAATAGAGTCAAATAAACCGATCAATTAAACAGATGGGTTATTATCATTATCACATGTTCGGCAACTTTAAATCTTAAAAAAATGTATAGTTAATAAACGTATTATATAATTAAGATCACGAATAGGCATCAAGTGTAAGAATACAAAAAATCACGCTGAACTAAATATTCATTCCATGCTGTTTGATGTTAGTCAGTACAGTGGGTAAATATCTTCGCACGAAATCAAATCGACAGTTTCAACGTCTATGAAACAACATATTAATATTGAGCCAGTATAACCAATAATTCACTTTTCATATATTTATTCATCTTTGAGAAGAGATTTCGTCTTCTTCTCCTCTTCCTCAAAACTATCCGTTCCTCACTAAACCACTAAAAAGCTTTATTATGTTACTGATTGATTTGTTCCTTCTTCTCTGTAGATTGGGTTTATGCATTCGTGAGATTGATCCACATTTAAATTGCCCAGATGTTTGTCGAGGTAAAACACATAAATTTTGCAAAAACAAACCATACACTGTTGGTTTCTGTGGTACTTATATGAATGACTTATTACGTGATGCAAAAATCCATTATACAGAAGAGAAAAAAGTAAAAGAATTAAAAAGGATTTTGAAAAATTGGTTATTACATGTACCTGTTGAGAGACGTCTACCGATGGAATTTTTTCTGCATTTTATTAATAATAAAAAATTGTTTCTCAAAGTCATTGAAATTCAACGACAAAGTGCATTGATAGCTTATTGTCCTTGTCAAGCTAAATATATAGTAAGTAGTATGAAGTTTATACTTGAAATAATCAGTTTGATGTGTCGATGATACTGAATAACCGAGTTGTTTGTGTTGAAAGTTCTTCATCGATGCTCATCTTTAGCTGAAATTACAAATTCTATTTCAAAAGAGCTGCTTTATTGACCAATAGAGAAACTCGATTTATGCACATCTATCACGTCAATTTATTGGCAGATATATGAATAAACTGGCTGACCGTCATGCAAAGACTAACTCTTTAGTTGTAGTGATCTAGAAACGTAGACGAATATTTGAGGTGGTTTTTGTTACAGACTGACATCAGTTGGAGGATACAGAAAAATTAAGAAGAATCAACTAGATATTACATCTGAGCTTGTGACAACCAAGCGATGCGCACCCATCAGGTAATACTGAGTCAAATAAGAGATTTTCAGATCTCACATTTAATATAATACCGACTAGTCACAGATTGAATTCCATGAGACAATTGTCACTCTCAACTATTTCGATCCATCTTGATGTTGTTCACTAATCAGTGTGTGTTTGTTGTTCGATCAATTACTTGGTTCAAGAACTTATTGTCTTGGATTGGATTCCATGTTAGTCTCTAGACGCCTAATTAAGACGAAACGATTAGACAGTGTTTTTGGCTCTTGGCAATTCCCCAACAGGTATCAACTCGTGGTGAAAACCATCTTCATGCTGATCAAATGTCAACAGTTAACTCCATTCGACAACAAACAAGTACTTTTAGCTTACCGATAAATAAACATAGAAAGAGGGAATCTGGGTAAAAATAATTACTTGTCAGCGTCTCTCTACTGACTACATACAAATACGAAAGTAGCACCAGTAATCTCTAGTCGTTCTTGGATTCCTTGTAAGAACGATTGAGTGAAGTCATGAATCGCGTTTTTCTCATCGATTATATCAACAATGACCAATCACCTTAGGTCAACAACTAACAAAAGAAATATGATCACATTCAGTAAGTATTGTTGACACCTAAACAAGGAGTAATTCTCACATTTTTACTATAAGACAGACCTCTATTCTTTAGCTCAATCGGTTTGCAGTTGCATATTCGGTGGAAACCACAACACATGTATTCAGCTGTCAAGTTCCACTACTAGTCATAATGAATCAGTACTGAAATATGAAATGACTTGTTATCGAATACAAAATACACCCGCTAGTGTTTTATTCTTCATACACAATGACCGGGTCAAATGGGAACTGAGATAGTACATTTTTACATTTCTTGTTTTCTTAATCAGTTCTCTTTAAATGATCAGGGCAGCAGAATCGCCTATCTTAATACTGGCTATGTTTGATGATTATAATTATTCGAATTATTGTACTAACTAGAAATTCCCGAAATTGTGCACTTTGCTGTAAGTAGAACTAGATGAGCATAATTGAACGTATTGTATTTGGAATTCGAAATCAGAGGGCAATTAAGTGCAAAAGATTCATTAATTTGTACAAACACCACACGAAGTCAGCTCACTAAACATATACTTTATTCACTTACTTATCTGGTCACATTACGTCATCCCTATGCAGATTGATTCGATTGAACTAATACTGGTAGGGTGATTATCTGCATTTCCACGCAACGGAATCATTTATGGTATCGAAATTTCAACATCATATTTTTAAAATGTTTCTTAGTATGACAGAAATTCAGACACATGTTCAAAAGTAAGAAGACAACATAGTTGTTACAGTGACAGTTACTGTGCGAATGGAGGTACATGTGTACAAAATCTGGAGATTGATCATCTGGAGTCAGGCTTATTTTGTCAATGTCCACCTGCTTTTAAAGGTACTCAGTGCGAGTATGAAAGAAATCCATGCGAAGATGAAGTTGGCTGTGTTCCATTTTCTTGTGTGCGAGATCCACGAAATTTAGAGTATGGTTCCCGGTAAGTATTTTATGTCCAGTTTCGGTAATAACTCATTTTAAGACAGAATATTAATATCTCAAATTAGTTCGTGAACAAATGGTAAAATAATTCCAGATTAAGAAGGGAGCGAATGGCTATGATATAAAAACAAACTAAGAGGTCATTGTTCGCCTACTTGAGATTTTTTTAAGAGAATGTGAGCTAACTTGCGAAATCAATGATTAGGTTAATTAAGTGATATGTAGTTCCAATCTACCGATGAATAGTGTTTTATCCTCTGAGCTGAACGGTTTAAATGGCTTTGCGCTTACACTCTCGACAAAGTCAGGGTCACCAGTCTCAATTATAATTTAGTTTTTAAGACTATTCCAAAAGCAATAGACCAGTCAGTTCCAATGACTTTGTTTGTGACTAGTTGTCTAGATACTACTGAAATCAATACTACTTGAATAATCTAGTTGAATAACTGTGGTCATTGGAAGTGATGGTTTTCATGATACGGGAACAAGTTGGTGGAATGATGATTCCCAACATAATTGAGTTTAAGTGTATAGTAACAGAGAAAACAATGTGAAAATTTGGAGATATAATCTCGTAATCAAAGAGCAGAAAGGCATCACGACAGAATAAAACAACCTCAGCTGTCCTATGATTTTCAGTCTATACCACTCAGTAACAGTAACCTATAAAACAGACACAATATATTTAGGTTCAATAACAAGCACTGACAAATTAACGGAAGTTAACTATCAAGAACACGTTAGTTTGCTCGGCTTCCTCCCCTGCATTCTTCGTGCTCTTTAGGTACTCAAAACCGAAGATGGTGGGATTGGAGTGGAAACCTGCAGTTCAGTAACTCAAAATTCAATCTTTAATCAGTAGCCAACATCCACTTATTCGAAAAACTGCTAACTTTCCATATATGAACTACATTTGTCTATCGCTTTCAGTATGCTGTTCCTAAATATTGTGAAAATTTGTTTCAGGAACTGTCCTGTTTAGTGCAGAATAAACTGAAGGTCGTTAGTTATGTAGAGTTCATCGCGAAGACCTTCTTACTTCCATGTGAATCTTCACTCCTAACTTAAAAGAAATCTATCTTCACTATCAAATTCAAATCCCTATAACTTAGTGGTATTGGTTGTTTGAATCTCCTCACTGATGTTCAGGACTACAGTCGGTTGGGCTCAATTGACCAGCCATATTGTTCAATATAACATCTGAAAAACATCCAACTGTTCAATATCTAACCCACTAAAGATTTGTGTTTTCACAATTATCCTCGACTAATGCCTGTGTCGTTCTTGGAAGCGATCTCTACTATCTGTGACCACGTCTCTAATAAAGGCGCACTGGTATGTTTGACTTTGTCAGAAATCACCCAAATAGTATCTGTTCTATGTAGAAAAATACACCTACTACTGAGATAAACTGTTGGATATTATTATTCATAAAGACAGAACCAGCTAGTCAAATCCATTTTTCTATCGATCAATAAAAGTCACCATTCACAAAGTCTTTTTAAGGTCAGTGATTGAGGACACAAATTGAGCTTTGATGGCTCAATGGGTTTTCGTACCACTTAAATTGTACACTGGATCTCAGATAAAAGAAAAACATGATACAATGTTTACCGTGTCAGACTAACCATAATTAATTAACATAGTTGCGATGTAATTATAAATGTTACTTAATTCCTTCTCTTTTTATGAACATATTAGTTGTCAATGTCCTACAACACATCAACATCAGACTGAAAGTGAACCCAGGTGTGTACCTATATCAGTTTGTGGTGAATTCAATATAACAAGTGAATTTAAAATGAGAAGGCAACCATGTAGGAATTCGGGTCAGTGTATCCAAGATACTAAGAATCCAACTTTGTATAAATGTATTTGTAGCCATGGTTATACAGGTGATCATTGTGAGATTGAACCATCACCAGCTATATGGAGTGTATGGTCAGCATGGTCTAATTGTTTATGGCCTGACTTAAATGAAATATGCCACAAAAAACCATATCGTCAACAAATACGCACTTGTATAACTAATGCAATCGGCCAAAAATGTATGGGGGAAACAAAAAGGATAACACATATTGGATGTGATCTCAGTGTAGTGAGTTAGCATTACTTATGTACATATATGATATTTCACAAGAAGTTCATCTTTGCAATTACGGTTAATTTTGATTGGCTTATAATTCTATATAATTAGGTTACATATTATTGTATTGATTGTTCTAAAACAACACAAATGTCTCACTGTAATTACAACTTCGTCTTATATCCTACTCAGTTGATATAACCTAATGATAACTTCATAATCAATCAAGGAATGTTCACAACTCTCCTACATCAAGTGGATTCAATGTTGCACAAAGTCGAACAACCACAAACTGAACTCACCATACTCATCTACCCAGTGATCAACTTGACACTCCTACTGAACACATAATCAATACTGAAAATTAGATCAATAGTTATACATTTTCACAATTATTCTTATTTATTTTCCAGCTCCATTCAAAATCAGAGATCAACGTATCACAAACAAAACGTGAGAATCTAATAAACGCATTAAAATTATGTGATTTATATAGTAAACAATATGTTATGCCAACAAGTGAATATGGATTAAATCAACAATTAATAATAGTTGAAGAAGCCGATGATTGGATTACAACCGGTTTTGAGGATGCACCACAACTACATTTGAGTGAGTCAACAGTAACTGATCAATCACAGTCAGCAAACTGGCCTACGAGACAGGACTATCTACTCACCACAGGATGGATATATTTGACCATAATTCACATAGGAACAATACTATTTTGGATTCATTACATACACCGTTGGAGAACACAACGAAGAGATTAGTCTGTGGAGATAGATCTGACAAGCTTATCTTGTAAATAGTTTTTAATATTATTTGTATTTGTCAATTTCTCACTGAATGTACATTTATCATTAAATGATTGTACCTGTTGTTTAAGTAAATGACCTTGTAGACTTTTTCCGTTGTGTTACTAACATAGCGTGACATACTTTCGGTGGTTCGCAAATACACTACTACGCACATACCCATTGTTCTATTCTCGCTCGTTACCAAGTCAATTGCGTTCTAAACTGGATATTATCCTCATTTCAGACTGCTGTGTCATTTCCATTATATCCTACGTCAAAGAAACTTATTGGTGTCATATTTACCTCTGTGGAATTATTACGCATTTGTAATTGTGGATTTATGGGACCAAAACTCAACAGAATACGCAACGACTAGCCGATTTAAGTAACGTCCCTGAACTTTTAATTTGTGTTGTTAATTTATAAATTATTATTGTTACATTAATTTTGGACGTAATAACTTTATCACTGATTTTTGGTTATTATACTTTTTGGTCCGCCACAATTATTTGGTGAGCCTCAATTTTTTTTTATAGACATTTACCTTATATATCTACATATTTTTTATTATTATTATTACCTGGCACGACATCATTTTGTTTTTGTCATTATGAACTCTCCGGGTAAACTTATTGATATTGATAGTTCACCGACCAATCTTCTAAACTCTCCACAACCAGAGGATAATGCTTTAAACTCGATCAACGCTATCTCAGAGTTAAGATTACCAACGTATTGTATTAATAATCCAAGAATCTGGTTTGCTCAGATTGAAGCTTTATTCATGGCTAGAGGCATAAAATCTCAGGCATCAAAGTATGCATACGTAGTCGGTGCACTTCCTGTTGAGATTGCCGCTGAAGTTGGAGATCTAATCGATCACGTGCCAGAATCTGAACCATACGATAAGATAAAAGCAGCAGTTATTCAACGCACCACGGTCTCAGATGAGAAAAGGCTGCAACAATTGTTAACATCTTGTGACTTGGGAGATAAAAGACCCTCTCAACTTCTCCGTCACATGAAACAACTCGCCGGTCCATACAAGCTAGACGAAGTCCTCCTAAAGCAAATGTGGTTTCAAAGATTACCACACAGCGTTAGACAAATTCTCAGTGTTTCAGGGAAATCCGTCGCACTTGATGACTTAGCCGACATGGCGGATAAAATGATGGAAGTCTACCATGATAGTCACGGTGTGAACTCATTGCAACCACCTGGACCACTAGATATGAGCTGTTTAGCCTCCTTTCAAAAGCAGTTAACGCATTTAACGAGCCAGCTAGCGTCTCTGCAATCAACCATAGCAACCATCCAAGCTAGACAATCGAGATCCCCCTCCAGACGAAGATCTTTTTCTAGACAACGGTCTCGGTCACCGAAGCGAACATCTGATGTTTGTTGGTACCACCAAAAATACGGCACCAAAGCACGGCGTTGTACACGACCGTGCACATTTTCTGCGTCTGACACAGAGAATCAGGGAAACGGCCCGGCCAGACAGTGATGGCGGCGCCTGTTTCTGGCCACTACCCGAGCCGTCTATTTCATGTCAGGGATCGAATTTCGGGCTCAGATTTTTTGGTCGATACGGGAGCCGAAATCAGCATTATCCCATTACACCTCTCTCAACGACGGCACCCTCAGAGTACTAAATTGTCTCTAGTCGCAGCCAATAACACAGTCATTAAGACTTATGGCGAACAATCCCTTATTTTAGATCTCGGTCTCCGGAGACGTTTCACATGGGTTTTCATCGTAGCTGAAATCAAACAACCCATTATCGGGGCCGATTTTCTCGGTGCTTACAACCTACTTGTAGATATGGCAAAAAAAAATCGACAAAAACACAAGCTTACAGGTCAGTGGCACAACTATCTCCAGTTACGAAATTCATGGAGTCCGTATGTTAAGACCTGAAAACAAAATTTTCACCGATATCCTGTCGAAGTATGAAAGTATAACCAGAGCTGATTACCAAAATGAATGCTCCACACATCATGTCCAACACAGTATTACTACTACAGGACCACCTATCCGCGCCAGGGCGAGAAGACTCCCTCCAAACAAGTTGCAGTTCGCTAAGAGAGAATTCGAACATATGATGCAACTTGGGATAATCAGACAATCTAACAGTCCTTGGGCCTCGCCGCTGCATATGGTTCCCAAGAAAGATCAAGACTGGCGCCCATGTGGAGATTATCGCCGTTTGAATAACCAGACTATCCCAGACCGGTATCCGATACCTCACCTGCATGATTTTTCTTTAAATCTACATGGAAAACAGATTTTTTCAAAGTTAGATCTAGTCCGAGCATACCATCAAATACCGATGGCACCTGAGGATATCGAGAAAACAGCCGTAATCACACGTTTTGGCTTGTTTGAGTTCTTGAGGATGCCTTTCGGACTAAAAAACGCCGCTCAAACCTTCCAGAGATTTATGGACGAAGTAACTAGAGGTTTGGATTTCGTATTTGTCTATATCGACGATGTTTTAATCGCTAGTTCTTCCATTGACGAACATGTTCAGCACCTACACACACTTTTTGAACGTTTCAAAAGTTATGGTGTTGTAATCAACCCTTCGAAGTGTATATTTGGCGCCTCCTCTCTGGAATTCCTGGGACACCACATTGATTCCCAAGGAATTAAACCGCTTGAAGAGAAAGTCAAAGCTATCTCCAGCTATCCAGAACCAACCTCAGTAAAATCACTACGTCGTTTTCTCGGAACATGTAATTTTTATCGACGATTTCTACCAAATTGTGCCGATGTACTACAGCCATTGACAGATTTACTGAAAAACGATAAATCAGGTACCAAGAAGGAAAAGAACCAAATATTCAAGTTACCTTCCGATGCCAAAATAGCATTTGAAAAAGCTAAATCCATGATTGCTAATGCTACCATGCTCCAACACCTAAATACTGACCCCACAACACTGTTGATCCTATGCACGGATGCTTCACAAAAAGCCGTCGGGGCAGTATTACAACAGCGGGTAAACAACACTATTACCCCCATTGCCTTTTTCTCCAAGAGATTATCGCCAGCACAAGAACGTTATAGTACTTTTGGACGCGAACTCTTAGCTATGTATTTAGCAGTAAGACATTTCAACTCTTTGCTACAGGGTCGTGATTTCATCATTATGACAGATCACAAACCTCTTTGCCATTCTTTTAGCACATCGTATGACAAACACTCCCCACGAGAAGCAAGACAACTTGATTATATCTCCCAATTTACCACAGACATCAGGTTTATCAAAGGTCACATGAACATTGTTGCAGATGCACTATCTAGGAGGGATATCAATACGATGGTACTCAATCATGACATCAGCCTTGAAACCTTAGCTAAATTACAAGCAGACGATGCAGAATTGAAAGCCTGCAAAGAAAAGTCTAGCTTAGATCTCAAACCTGTACCGATTCCTCTTTCAGATACATTTATCATGTGCGACACTTCAACAGGCAACAATCGTCCGTTTGTCCCACACGCTTGCCGACGAAAAATATTTCAGCATTTACATGGTCTTTCACATCCAGGCATCAGAGCAACAACAAAGCTCATTACCGAACGTTTTGTGTGGCCTAAAATCAACTCGGATGTTAAACGTTGGACACGTAACTGTCTCCAGTGCCAACGCAGTAAGACGCAAAAACACACCTACAGTCCAATTGGGAAGTTCCCTATCCCTGACAAACGCTTCCAGCACGTGCATTTAGATTTAGTTGGGCCTCTGCCACCATCAAACTCTTTCACACATATCCTCACCGCAATAGATAGGTTCACAAGATGGGCCATAGCATGCCCCATTAAAGACACATCAGCAGAAACAGTCGCTTCAGTTTTCCTCGACCGCTGGATATCCAACTTTGGTGTACCATCAACAATCACAACAGATCGCGGTCCCCAATTCCAATCCGTCCTATTTAACGAGTTCACTAAACTTCTTGGAGTAAATCATATTAAAACGACAGCTTATCATCCGGCAGCTAATGGCATGGTCGAAAGATTCCATCGCCAATTAAAAAGCTCTCTGATGGCACAATCGGACTCTTCAAAATGGAGCGATGCCTTACCGCTCGTTCTCCTTGGGATTCGCTCGTCAGTGAAGGAAGACATCGGATGCACGGCCGCTGAACTAGTCTATGGCACGACATTAACGTTACCAGGACAACTGGTCAAGAATGAACCCACAACGCCAGGAGACCCTACTCGTTTTGTAAGCAGATTACTACAAATGATGCAGAACATCAAAGCAATACCACCTAGAGAACACAACAACCGAGTCCATCTCGATAAACATTTAGAAACGTGCAAATTTGTTTTTGTTCGAGTAGACGCGGTGAAAAAGCCACTGACACCACCGTATGAAGGTCCTTATAAAGTAATAAAACGCACTCACAAATATTTCATTATCAATAAAAATGGGAACAAGGAGACAATTTCCATTGACCGAATAAAACCAGCTTTCTACGAAGTCCCTCAAGCCACAGAAGACAATGCTGCGAACAAACAATCACTCCCATCAATTGCTAAGAAACAAGAGGAAGAGGAAAAACTTAGCACTACACCCTCTTGTTTAACACGATCTGGGAGACTTATAAAAAAACCAAAGCGTTATGTACATTTTGCCATATAAAAAAAAACAAACAAATAAAACAATCAAAGCAAACAATTATCGAGGACCTACACTATTAATCCCATCTAAAAAAATTTTTTTCTTTTCACAGTGTTCATAATTAATCACATTTTTTCCACAATTATTCGTTTTGTCACATTTTTTAAAAAAAAAATTGTAACAATAATAAACGGGTAAACTCTTTTTAATTATTTATTCATTATACACAAAAATAAACAGCTCAATTTTGTGTGTGTGTGTGTGTGTGGGTTATTAAAAGTTTTACACATTATTATCCTTGTTAGCCAAACAAGACATTAAATGACAGTATTTCCTTTTT